TTTATAAACAACACACGTAATCACAATCCTGAATTGGCTATAAAGCGAAATTACGGAGATGCATACATATGTCGAAGACGAAAGTAGCCTATAATCTACTACACTAGACGTACCCACAAGAGAACAGACAACAAAACTCAAAAAATAATTCTCACAGAGAGAATTCACAAGTGAAGAATCTTAATCATTACTTCATATCATCTCTCTTTCATCAAATCAACTTTAATTATTTTATTTTGAATATTACTTTAAATATAAATTCAAAATCTCACTAATAATTGACCATACATATTTTTCAAAATTAACTAAACTAAACCAAAAAATTCAAACAAAATCAAAAAATTCTACATCCAAGAATACTACTCTCTAATAGGGAGAAAGAAACCAAACAAAACCAAAAGACTAACAAACACAAACACAACTCGAAAGAAAAAAAGGCAACTAAAAGAAGAAAACAAAAGAGGAAGCCTCCCCATCAGCCAAACAGAACACCGAGACAAACTTTGAAGAACCAACACCCGAAGGAAATCCTACGATGAGATTGAAAGCCCATGACCAATCTCGAAACTCCCGAAAGCTACCCTGGAAGCTGTCGGAACCTGCTGAGGGGAGGCACGCCGGGAGGAAGCGCTGAGGTTGCGGGCGGAAAGTAGGGATTTGGGAAATTGTGTTTCTGGTTTTAATTTGTTCATCTTTGGAATGTTTAGCGGAAGGCTTGGACAGGAACCGAATGGTTTGGTGAGTAATTATGCTACTTGAGCTTGAGAGGGAACAAACTAGACATCAATAACATGGAGAGTTTTTCCTTAGGAAAGTGACAACCAATTTTTATATGCTTTGTTCTTTGATTTTGATGTTGTGCTGGATTATTTACAATTGCACTAGCCGACTTGCTATATGATATAACAACAATTAGGGGAGAATAAGAACTGTTGATGTCGAAAATCGGACGATCAACTGTTGAATATATGTTGAATTTCTTGTATAAAAATGAAGAACAAGATAATTAAAAGAGTAAATAATAATTTGCAACCTGTACTATACGCGAATTTGGATTTTGCAACCTAAAATTTTTTTTATACTAAATTGCAACATTTAATACACGATTTGTCTATATCGCAACCTCCGGCCATCGGAAGTTCATTTTTCACCGGAAAAGCAAGCGTGCGACACACACGTGCCAAATTTGAGGGCAAAAATGTCATATCTCTTCATCCTTATTCTTTCATCCTACCTCTCACACACACACTCCCACATACATAGTGAAAATCAAGGGAATCGCAGTACCGCCGTCCGCCGTAGCGCCTGCTAAAAGAAGCCCTATTTTATCGCCGGCGGAGTCTCAGCAGTCAAATTCGACTTCAATCTGGACATATTTGTCGATATTATTGCCTCAGATATGAAGAAGAAAGCAATCGAATTTCAAGATGTATTCGAAACTTCTCTATGCTCTATGCATCATTTGTCGAAATTATTGGCTCAGATCGGTAGAAGAAAGCAATCGAAATTTCCAAGATGTACTCGAAATTTCTCTTTGCTCTGTTCATCTTCTTCCTCGCAGCCCCCATATTTCCTTCCAGCAGCATCACTCTCTACGGCGGCGCTTTCTTGAACGCCGCCTCCATCGCCCTGTCAAAGGAGAAGAACTTCACCTTCCTCCCGCTGCCTCTGTTCTTTTCGCTGGCTCCACCGCCTCTATTTCGTGCCTTTTCTCTTTCGCCGTCGACAGGTTTGTGTTTCTTATCACATCAAAAGGCGCAAATTTCAGGGCCTCTATGTGACTACATGGGCTTCCCGATTGAGGAACCCTATTATCTCGTCGTGGAATTTAATTTTTGATTTGAATGTGTGTGAGAGAGTGTGTGTGTGTGTGAGAGAGAGAGAGAGGATGAAAGAATAAGGATGAAGAGAGATGAAATGACATTTTTGACCTCAAATTTGGCACGTGTGTGTCGCACGCTTGCTTTTCCGGTGAAAAATGAACTTCCGATGGCCGGAGGTTGCGATATAGACAAATCGTGTATTAAAGGTTGCAATTTAGTACAAAAAATTTGTTAGGTTGCAAATCCCAAATTCGTGTATAGTACAGGATGCAAATTATTATTTATCCTAATTAAAATGGGGCTTTATTTCTTGAGAAATGCTATATTGCCAACCTAGTGTACAACTAGGTTGACAACACAAGTAAAAAACATCCACATAAATAAAAATAAAAAAGTATACAAGTAGATGTTTCCACTTGTATTGTCAACCTAGTTGTACACTAGGTTGGTTATGTATCATTTTTCTTATTTCTTATTTTTTAAGAGTCTTTTTCTCTCTTTTGGAATTGTGGGGAGGAAGAAACATGAATAGTCACCTTCTCTCTCCTCCTTTATACATATATATATACATGAATATTTCTCTTACAAGTGGTTGAATAAATAAATAATAATACACTTTAGTTAATGCGAGGTGGTCATAGTGAGACCCACTTATGACTTTTGAGGGCTTCGATTGATGTCTATCTTGTCGGTCATTATTGCGTCTATCGAAGGCAACTTCTTTATGATATATGTGTCATTTGATTACTTCGAATTATGTTCGGCTCGACAACAGGCGGACTCGACATTTGGGGACCCGGTCGGCTTTTTGGCGATCAGTTTTGAGAGCATGTTTGTATATTTATTTATTATATATTTTCGGCTCATTGGTTATTGGGCCGTTATTAATTATTTTATTTATCATTTATTTAATCGAAGGTAGAATTCCAAGACGGACATCTAATGAAGTGAAAAATTTCTGGAACAACCACATGAAAAAAAGTCAATGGTCAACCTTATAAGGCCCCGGCCTGGACACCCAACCGAAAATCATGATAATCCCCAAAACATTAGTACAGTACAAGTCGAGGAAGCAGAGGAGTGCATTCGCTGGTGGAAGAGCTTGCTCCGAATGACTGAGAATGGAAATGGGGATTCTGTGTTGATGAAGTTGGATTGAGCTTATTAGATGCGATATGTGGGAATTAACTATGATAAGGAAATAAGGAATAATTATGATGCTCAATGGAAATTCCTTTCTCTGTTCAAACATTGTCCACGTAGACAGATCACATACTTCACTGGAAATGATGATTTTGTGTAGAGATGTTAGATGGTCCTTGGCCCGACGGGCCGGTCCGTTTAGCCCGAAAAAAAAGAGGGTTAGGTCCTTTTATTAGTAGCCCGTTTAAATCAGGGCTTTTTAGGCCAGGACCGTTTAGCCCGAAACCCGCTAGGGCTAGCCCGTTTAACTAGGGTTGGGCGGTGTAAATGTTTGCGTCAAGTAAGTAATATGCTCTTAGATTCCATGTATATTACAATTTTGATATTCCATTTTGCGAGTTGTAATGGATTATTATGATTTTGAAAGATAATTATTAACAATATTGTTATTGTACTTCATACCAAAATATTTAAGCCAATCAGAACGACTAATAAGAAATACATGAAACATAGTGATAGACGGTAAATACTAAATAGCCGTTGAAAACAATTTTTAACTAGACGTCGTTATTTTTTTTAGATCTTTTACTCTTCTTATTTTTATTTTATTATTATTATTATTATTATTATTATTATTATTATTATTATTATTATTATTATTATTATTATTATTATTATTATTATTATTATTATTATTATTAGTATAGCCATAGCCCGCATAGCCCGTTTAGCCCGAAGCCCGCTAGGATTAGGGTTAGGTCCTTTTTTTGGTAGCCCGTTTAAATTCGGGCTTTTTTGGCTCGGACAGTTTAACCCAAAGCTCGCTAGGGCTAACCCGAAACCGTTAGGGCTAGCCCGTTTAACATCTCTAATTCTGTGTTGATGAAGTTGGATTGAGTTTATTAGATGCGATATTTTATTTTATTTTATTTATTTTTTATTTTTTATTTTTATTTATTTTTATACAAAGAAGGCAGCCATAGACCCAAACCTTATTAAATGCGATATTTGACTTTTCTTGTACCTTTTGGCATTATCTATAATTGCTATCAACTGTCTATTATATTGATTTGATTGTAATCTATTAAATAAAAATATTTATAATTATATAAACAATATCTCTATAAATTTATCAATTTTCTGAAAATCATAAGAAAAACAATTTTATATAATTATAACAATGTGTGCTAGCTAGATTAATCAAGTCGAATTACAAAAAAATTGGTTAACAATACATAATAAAAATTGATACACAATAAGTTTAATTATAGAAAATTGTTTAACAATACATAATAACAACTGATACACAAGTACATTTGGTACGTAAAAGAGCTCCGACCGGCTAGATTCAACTTGATCTCGAGCTTCTTACAGGTTGAACGCCTTTGGACCGGCAAAATCTCTCACACCGGAGGGGTTTTCTGGTGAAGAGACTCTGATTCTAAAGTTAGCACTGTGAAAAGATGAAGTGTTGTATATCTGTTGAGTAATAGAGAATGTAATCTAAAGTTGGGCATACCTTACTCCATTTTGTAGAGAAAAGATACCTTGTTGCCCAATCCTGCCCGAGTAGGCTGCCACGACTATCTGTTCGTACTGCCCGAACTGCCAAAACTGCCCAATTATGTTAGGCCACGTGGTCTTATCCACATGGTAGAGTAATAACCATAATATCTTTTCTTATCCTTTAGTCTTTTTTATTAGACGGTCTAACCATGCGATCAACCTGGTTTACCTCGCGGTAAAGTACTGCTGATATTGAGCTCTAATCTTCTGCTCGTATGCTCAATCGTTCTACCAGATATACCTTCAGGTCGAACTTCAATCAGAACATTCGATGGTCCTAATAATTCGACCAGCCGGTGCTCTCCACATCCTTGACGTCCTCTTTGACCTGAGGATCTGTCGACTTGTGAAGTCTTCAATCCCCACTCGACCTGATAGTTTTTCCAATTCGGTTCCATTATTTCCCCGGTCCCATCGACCTAGTACGGTTTTCCTATCATCTTGTCCCCCCACTCTGGTCGAGTTAAGGTGACTCGATCTAAGAGTGAAATTGGTTGCCTTTGTAACCGATTATGGTAGGTTAAAAATTTGAACTAGTAACAATAACTAGCTATTGGCGCTTCCTAGTAGGTTGTTAAACTGACGGTTACTGTTACTGTCCAGTTTGAACTGTTGGTTTTCGATTCCAACTGTCGGTTTTCATTTTTTATTCTAATGTTAAAATTTGAAAATTCTTTAGAATTAAACCACCGTATTTTTTGAAAAAGCATTTGTTTTCCAAAAAAGAAAAAAAACAGCGGTTTAGATAGTTTTTCACCATTTATTTTTCTTAATTTTGGGAAATCAATAACCTTTGTAATTGTTTTTGTTCCCCTCCCAAATTTTTTTACTTTTTTATTCTATTTTATGACCAAACTTTGTTTATTGTGTTTTTATACTTATTTCGTGTGTTTTATGTGCCTTAAGCCGAGTCTTTTTAGGTTCGTTTTAGTGTCGACCTGTCCATTTTATCGTAATTCGTGTATTTTTGCGTTCGTTATGTGTTTTTGTGTTTTGCCGCATTTTCTTGTCTTTTTGGTGTTGATTATGTCCATTTTGCCGAGATTGAGAAAACGAGCGGACCAATCCGACCAAGCCATGACCTGGTCCAGACCCACGCACCGGCCCGCGAGCGCTAGCGCATGCCCGCGCCCATTGGACTGCCTAGTAACCTCGCGAGTGCTCTGTCTGCTGCTCGCCAGCGTCCCCGCGTCCGCCCTCCTGCACGCCAGCAGCCCAGCCCGCGACCACGCGAGTGCCAGGGCGGTGCACTTGCGACCCCGTGAGTGTTTTAGCCACGTCGCGAGTGTTTCTTAGTAAATGTGTGTATGTTTAGTGTGTGTTTGAGGTGTAGCTATAAATAGACATTGTGTTTTGTATTTTTGGACATCACCCCTCATTTCCCAACTTTTAAGTTGGGAAATTAGCTCTCTTTTTATTTTTTCTCTCTCTAGCTTTGTCTAGGAGGTCGGTCCATGACTCAATTTTTCTGACAAAATTCGTCGACTTTATTTTTGTTCAGGATTTGAGCTTTACGCATTATTTTCATCCGAGCTTGTGATAGGAGAGTAAGTACCTTGACTAGCGCTTATTACTTCGAGTTTGTTTTCCTTTTTGCTTGTTGAGTTGGTGTTGTGGCTGGAATCTTGTGTGATACTCGATTTTAGGACTTTGCTTTATTTTCATTGCTTGCGTAAGTGTGTTAGGAATTCAATATGTGTTTATCTTGTATAAAGGTCTCGACTTTGCTCAAAGCGTGATGATTTAGTTAAGAAGACTCGTGTTAGATTACCTAGGATCACTTTGTTCGTATGTTTCTCTTTGTTTATTTTCATTTTTCTTGAGTTATGGAGACTCTGTGCAATCAAAGTTTCGATATTTTTTTCAAATCTTGCATGCTTCACCCTTTGTTCTTTATCTCTTAGCTTAATTTCGTGCAAATCATCCCCCAATCAAGCGAGTAGCATGTCTAGGACTTTATTTTTTGTTTTGTGAATTGACGACTAGATAGTGAACAAAGCTCCGAACAACCTTACTCGAGAGACACGACCTGAGGTCGGGATTTATTCCGCACTTGGCTAAAAACTACAAACAACCTTCTCTATTGCGGTTCTGACATTTGCAATCCGTAATTGAACTTACAAATCATAATAGGAAGTAGGAACTACAGTCAACAACAGAATCGGTTTGAACCGCCTGCTTGGCGGGTTGTTTACAAACCTTGAACATATCCATTTGCAATATCGTCATATTTTATTAAAATAATTATAGCACAATTCAACTCTGAAACCTGGCTATGCCTCTAATACTAGGTGTCTTGTTAATTTAGTGTAGTTGGTAACTAGTATTTCAATTTCGGTTTTGCCATAAAATAATGATGGATTGAAATTAAATAAATAAAAATCCAATCAGGCTTGGACGCATGGAACTAAGAAGAGCTTTAGGAGAGTCCCGCCCTGTGGTTTGAAAACATGCACGTCACTTTAGATCACAGACTACAAGGCAAGAGCGCGACCGCATATATAATTTAGGCTAATCTTCCCTTTGAACAAAATCATAAATGCAAAAAGTATATATATTTGTGCATGTTCCATAACAATTTTGCTAATTAATTTATTCCCCTTTCCTCTCGTTAAATTAAGGAAAGACAACTCGAAATTATGGAAATAAACGGAGTGAGGAAAGGTGCATGGACAGAAGACGAAGATGTTCTTCTCAGGAAATGTACAAAATAATAATAAAAAAAAAAAAAAAAATCTTATATATATGACGCTTTTGGCCATGCATGACCAATATATATATAAATATTTTTATGCAGATGGTCATTAATCGCGGGTGAATTCCAGGACGAACAGCTAATGACGTGAAAAATTTCTGGAACGGCCACATGGAAAAAAAGTCAACGGTCAAAAAGGATTTTCAAAAAGGATTGTTAACAATTGCCTATATATCAGATTGATTTGATTGTAATGTATTAACTGTTAATTAAAAATATTTATAGTTATATGAACAATATCTCTATAAATTTATCACTTTTCTTAAAAGCATAAGAAAATTAGTTTTATATATAATTATAAAAATGTTTGCTACCTAGATTTACTTAGGTTGAATTATAAAAAAATTGTTGACCGATACATAATAACAATTATAACAATTTATCTTATGTTATATATGGTATATTAGTGATTACATATTACAAACACATCAATCAACATGAAAAATATCTTGGTGTACTGACTCGTCTTAGTATTCACGTCATCGTGTGACACTACAAGAAATATGAGTTTTACCAACAGAATAATCCGTTGGTAATGAAATTTCCCAACGGAATGCCAACGGCTTACCAACAGATTTTTTTGTTGCTATATGGCTTGTTACTAAATTTTGCCAACAGAAAATACAATCCGTTGGGAAAATTCCCAAAGGATTACCAACAAATTTGCAACGGAAATGCTTCATGAGATTGTCAAT